GGGGGGGCGGTCCTGTGGACCGAAGCAAGTTTGTTCATTAACATTCAGATTCATTAATATTTTATTACACAACAAGTGAAACATTAACATCGTTAACGTTAGCTGGATACTATACCCTATAATAATATCTAATAATAGATAAATGTGTCTCCGGATATTATTTGGATACATTTGGAATGTGATGTTTTCTTGCCGCCCCGTTTTTTTCTTGGCTCGTCCGCGGTGCAACGAAAAGACAAGCAGCCCTGCGGTCGTGTTCTGCAAATGCCAGGCCAAGTTGGGAGCATTTGGACAGAAGTGGCGAATTTGGAAGTCTTGGATTACACCTCAACCCCTCCTTTTGTACATGGGAAAATGGGCACAGCAGAATGTTTTCTGATGTCCAGAAACATTGACCTCAGGCCCCAGGTCCAAAAATCCAAATGTAGGTACAGTAAATATGTGATACATGCAGTTATTGGGATGATGATGATAATGGGGTGACATCTTCTAGGGTGCTTGCAACTGTCCAGGTATGTATGGGGTTCATTACAACTCTTTGCCTACTTTTTGCCTCGAGGATTCCTTTTGGACCTTCTCTTGCACCAATAGGATGTTTGCATGGTTTTCTATAATATCATGTTGACATTAAATGACCGCAGCTCATTGCATGGTCACGCGTGGCCATGCAGTAACTGCAACCTTTCGTGGATTTCACTTGTTCTACTCGTAGTTGCAGATATGGACGAGAGAGATTGTCCGGCAACAAAACCTCAGACCACTGAGAGGCACCTGATAACGGTTTCAAATGTTCCTTTAACATCTTTCACTTTAGCTGGGCTCATCACGTTGCTTTTTGTGGGGGTCTGCATGGTCCCCCTGCATGACCATTTGAAAAAAATACTTTAGATCGAGTGATCCGCACCATGACATTTCAATCTGACAATGTTTCTTTAATATGATGTATTGCAACATTATTTCGGCAATTATTTTTTGCATATCTTCTGACATTCTATTTGGCATATCTTCTGGCTCGCGGCTGAGGTCCGGCGGGCCGGAGCTTGCGGTTGAGGTCTGGCCAGGAACATTGCCATCCGGAGCTGGGTGATTGAGGTCCGGTGGGGAACACTGCTATCCTGCACTTGCGGTTGAGGTTCGGAGGAGGAGAAGAAGGAGGAGGACGGCAGCAGACATTAAAACTAACAACCCTCACCTGACAGGTAGGGAACAGCAGTACGTCACGAAGACGGAAACTAGGGAAGCAGTGAAAGCCGCCGGACTTGGATCTCGGAGCAGGCTCCTACATATGTTCATATTGGCCAGCGCTTGTTGGGCCCTCAGAGGGCCGTTTTGGATGCCAATGTCCAAACCGGTGTGTCCAGGAGTTAAGCCGCGGTTCTTGGAGGGATATGCAAAACATCGCAAGTCACGTTGCTTTTGGGCTGATGAGAACCACCGCGCAAGACTTCGCGCCGGCGGGAGACTGGGTGGGATCGGTTTTGAAATGTGTTGAGTCCTTCGAAGTCATGAGAATTTCCTCATGATTTCTCATCGCTCAAGGCAGTCTCCTGGCTCTTTGGCCGGGGGTCCCGAGATCGAGTGGGGTTTCCAGCCTTCTAGCCACTGTCGTCGACAAGGTCTAGACGAAGTGCAGATGTGGGTGCAGCATTTTTTTGCAAGACTATAGTCACAGATGTTGTTGACTCTTACATCACACACACACATGAAACTATTAACATTTATTAACTATCCATGCCACCTGGTTGGGTGCCCAAATTGATGAAACAAAGTGGCTGCTCGGAGTCCACGCCGGGCCGAAAGCACACGGACCAAGTCACTGGAAATTGCGTTAGTACATATAACAACGCCACACCCAGACGCTCCAAACAATCCTTCAGGACCTCCAACATGTTGAACCTTAACGAACGGTCAACTTTTGGTTCCCTAAAACAGTGAACCTTGTGGTCACGGTGTGTGATGGTGTGTGTGCGTGTGTGTGTGTGTGTGTGTGTGTGTGTGTGTGTGTGTGTGTGTGTTTTTTAGATCTCCTAGCATCGCCAGACCGAGGCCTCGGTGGGCGATTGGAATGTCCACGTTTTCTCAGCCCTACTTGTCCTGGTTTCACCGATTTGAGACCCCAAACCGCTCGGTGTTTGGTCGGACCCCATCATAATAGCGATGGCCTCCAACCCAAGAGCGATGGCCTCCAACCTAAGAGCGATGGCCTCCAAACCAAGAGCGATGGCCTCCAACCTAATTAAGAGCGATGGCCTCCAACCAATTAGGACCCAATGTTTGGGCCGACAAAAAGACATGCACGTGGTTCCAGGCATGTCCAAGCGTTGGAGCTCCATCAAGGCCATCAGGCAGGTTCTGATCCGCGGTCTCCGACGTTTCGACGGGGCGGCCGTTGGATGGGGCCCTGCGGCAGGGGTTCTCAACACTGCCAGTGGGAGGTAATCGGTGTTACTCATAATCCAACGGAGGGTTAAGTGACCGTAAATAGGACCTTACAGGGGTACCTATAGGATAGTCTATAGTCTATAGGGTTCTTCAACCTTTGCTGGTGCATACCTGCCAGTTTAAAGGACAGTTGGGGATGCGAGGACAGTTGGGCGAGAAAACCCAAGAGAAGACCCAAACCTGCGGGCTCTGGAGAAAGGACTGAAATTGATTCTCGGGATGCTTCTAGCATTTGAACAGCGAGCCACGCGTTGGAGAGCCAGGCGGATCTGCGGATCTATGGACACTTTCCAGGGCTCCATGTGATGGGATCCAAACACTCCATGGGACTGGAAGTGGGACTGGAATAGGTACAGTACATTTACCATTGCCCCATGAACATGACCTCAAATGGATGTTTCCATGGGTGGTGGGGGACAGAAGCTTCGCCCCAAAAAAGAATTGCTTTTCAGGGGTCGCCGGTCGCCGGCCCGGCGACCTCCTGCTCAGGTAGGCACAGAGGCAAAAAACACACTCCATGCCTTCCTGGCCATCCCAGGAGCTGGGTGGAAAACCTGTCAATCGAACCCTTACGGATTTTGGGTCGATTGATTCAATGGATTCCTGAGAAAAGGCTGTTCATGGGAAGCACCTTTTTTGGGGGGATTGCCGTGCCATGCGGGTCATGTGGGTCTCAGGTTTGTTGATTCTCTGAGGGGTCCTGCACTTGCAGATCTCGTGCCAGACATCAAGGACCAGGCTACTAAGGAGTAGTTCTGAGACGAAAACACACGCGCCCATGGGTGGTGCAGCAAGTGTGGCCTCTCCGCCTGTGTCGAAGAAGGCTGTGAAGAGACTTGGCAATTTCAGTCATGTGTTTTTTTCCCAAGAAGAATGTGAACTTCAGCAGTTCCAAAAGGGTGCCTCATGGAGGATCGGGGTGTACCACTCACATCCGCTCAGAGCGGGCCCTCAAAACCACCCCGGATTGGAACTGGCTGCAGTTCTCAGAACAAACACTCCATGGGACTGCCTTATATGGCTACATTGACCCCCCCTGCCACCACCCCAATGTATGCAAATATGGCAGTCTCATGGAGTGTCTGGGTTCCCATGTAGATATGGCCAAGAGATTCTGTGAGTCAGAACCCCCAAAGCAACCGGTTGACAGCGGGAACCCGCAGCACGCGTAAGTTACGCACCCGGTGGCGACGGGTGGTTGATTGATCCCCCTGACCATGGGTATTACCAGCCAACAAAAACATTCTTGGTGTGGTGGAGTAGTGCATGTGGTTTTGTCTTGTTGGGGGTCACTCGCTGCAATTTTTGTGCGGCGAGTTTGGAGAAATGTACACAGAACCGTGTGAGGCGAGTGTCCCAAACAAGACCATTCCTGGTGTGTGCCTAGAGGTCCCTACGCTGGTTGAAACCACTCACGGCAGTACGGAACGTTCAGAGTTTTCACATTCGGATCCTTTGGGGTGTTCTTTTTCTTCTCTGCGATTATTCGTTTTCGATGTTTCCACCATGTTGGCCCCAGGCTGGCGAAACGTGAAGGTCCAGATTCAGCCAGGGAGATGGTTCTCCTCCAAACTCATTTTGTGCGACGCCGAGACTCCGAAGATTCCGAAGATCCTGATTGGAACTTGGGAGCTCGAAGCTGGAAAGTTGAGCCTCCGCCCTTCACCTTTTCCAGAACTCTAGCATACAGTGCCTTGGCAAGCTTCTGGGGACTTTAGACACAAAATGATACAAAGATATCAATTCTTTCATGATTTCTGCAGCACGAGAGGTTGTGAGCTTTCATGCTCTCAACCAATGACCGTCCTTGGCTGTTCTCCAAAAGGTTGCGATCTTGACATAGAGACGACTACTGTCAGAGTCGACCAAAGAGACGCCTCTGGCCGTGGATTCCCTCAGTGTTTCTTACACACCTTGCCCCAGGATGGCACAAACGTGGGTTTAGGATGGTTTAGGTACCCCCTTTTCGCGATGAAGGTGAGTAGATGAGTAGACTCCCTGAAGTAATCATGCAGCATCATGCATGGTGGAAGTGGATGGCATGGCCGCGATTTCGGATGACCAGTTCCGAATACCAGACATGAACTCCACTTCCATGATTTGTTCAGGGAGTGTACTACTTTGTTTTGGAATGGCCCCTTTGGTCCTGTTCCAAGATCCTGAGACAGGCACCCTCTGGAATAATATACGCTCAACCCACCTGACCGCCCCTAACCGCACCCCCAAAAAACCGGACCCCAAAACACAAGAGAACGCTGGACCATCCACCCCACCCCCCCTGCCCACCCTCCCGCATGCTCAGGCGCTGACGAGTGGGCGGTGCGCTTCGGTCGCTCCCCCGTGGAGGACGACGTTCCTTCCGTCGGTTCCAACGACGTCCTTGGTGTGCCCAGGGATATACCTCAGCCCCTTGGGCCGTGCACAGCGATGGATTGAGTGTTGGGCAGGGGAACTTCGGCACCAGGAGCGGGGAGTGGTGCCTTGCATGTATTCAGGAACATTCCCCGAGGTTCAGAAACCGCTCGGCCACTGCTTGGAACTTCATGATTTAGTTTTATAAGTTTCTAAATATGTGATACCTGGCCCCGCTAGCAAAACGCAGCATTGCGACATTGCCCTAGGGTTGCCGGTGCTAGTCGTTGCTAAGTTGCGGCTGCAGATCGCGTGCCTATGTGGGGAGCATGAGCATGTGGTATTTCACTGCTCGACTGTTCAGTGATGTAGTACAGATATCACATATAACTTATAACACCCACCCCAATGCGAAAAGTGAATGTTAAGTCGCAGCTGCAGGCATCGCTCGCCGCACTCGCTTGCTTGCACAAGCACGGGCACACAGGCCCAAGATCATTTTCCTACTACTACTATATATTACTACAATTATTTATATAGGATTGCTTCTAGTGTATGAGACAACTATTTCAAAGCCAACAAGCCAAACCGGCAGACCGCAACGCGTGCTCTTGATCACAACCGCTTAGCCGCTTGGTGTCCTGAGGCACCAAGCGGAGTGCAGTCAATCCGCGCTAGAGTCGCTAGAGCCGTCTTAGATCCGTCGGGCCGAACTTGGACCACTTGCCCACCGTGCTGTCCACCTAGTAAACCACAAGTGTGCATTGGTTTAGTCATTTTGGAAAAAAACAATGTTTTGTGAAATAATGACACTTTCTCAACTTCACAGATCCCAACATACACTTTCTGGTATTTCACAACATTCCAGACATGTTACATGAGAAGCCAGATCCAAAGGGTTCCCAGCCACCGGGCTCAAAAGAAACACAAAAAAAACAAGAGCGGAAATACCCGTCCAACAGGCGGAAATCGGCGGAACAAAGGCGGAAATACCCGGACAGAAATATGGCTCAAGTTTGTCAGGTTTGAAGGGTCAATTTGAAGTGGATCTGTGTCCACTGAAATGGGCCAGGAAGACACGATAGACTTTACTCCCGATTACACTTTTGCTTGAAAGAGTACTTTTTTTGCTTCCAAATCAGCCGATGACAAAAAAGGCAAGGTTGGGTTGTCAAGGCAGGGACCACAAGTCGCTACGCTACAGTATCGACAGAATATGCAAAGACATTTGGAACAATTTTGCGCTGGGATGATGCTGAAGTTAGATGCTGGAGGCTAACAGTCTTTTGATTCTTCTTCCATATGTGATCAGGATTTGTTGAATTCTACAATCTCGTAAGATACAGTAACTTTAAACTAAATTTCAATACATTTTAAGTCCCGTGGTCATTTGTTGGCAAGCGTCGAACTCCTGTGCAATGGTCCTGCAGGGCCTGCGAAGTTTGCGAGAGGTGAAAACTACAATATGCCAGCTGGATCTCTACCCAGAAGGAAGCACCACTTTAACTATTCGATCAGGAAGTACGTCCTCACCTCTGTTCGACCATTCGAGCAGAGGTCACAAAGAGGGAAATGGAACATTGGGTTGGGGGAAGTGACAACTTTCCTTTACGATCAGCTCCACCTCCATGTGATGTGTTCGCCGGAGAGTACTTGGACCCTATATTGGGCATACTTGAACCCTCCGAACTCGCCATGTTCACATCTATAACCCCTCAAGACCCGATCCGAAGGTATGTGGATTGGACTAATGAACAGAATTTGATGACAAGCCTTCGATATCATCATGACTTGGTCCTACCAAAAAATATCGGACAGCAACTGGTTACATACAGACCTCGGACAGACACGTCACAAGTTGCCCTCAGGTCCTGACGCAGGGGCAACTTGGTGGACATGCTGGATGAACATATTTCCGGATTAACTTAGAAACAGACTTTGGATGGAACCAGGAAGCGTCTTCTCTTTTTTCAGGGTGGGTCATTGGCAGATCCGACGCGGCGACCGGTGTCTCACCCAGACCGACCCGATGCTCAGGAGGACCCTCAGGAAGTAGCTGACCTTCACCAAATGTTGTTGAAAGGTGGGTAGTCGAACCGAGGGGCTGTACACAGGTATTTTCTGGGTTCGCCAATTGCTCTTGTGTGCCACTGGGATTTTTTGTTGAAACACCCGGATGGAGGAGGAACTGGGAGTCAGTAATCAGTTGGCGACTGGGAGTCGAGTCTCTGGACTGGAAGTCGAGTCTCCACTTCACTGGGAGTCGAGTCTCAAACTGTAATGTAGACTCTTGATTCATCCACCCCCCTTTTTGAAGAGGATGTTCAATTCAAAGGGGGGGGTGTATTAGTCTACATTAGCTTGCACCAGTTTTTTCTTCCAAAGTCTTGCTGCTTCGATCCGAGGTGGTGGCTGATGTGTTGAGAAATACCCAGAGGAAACTGCATGGAGGAATACCTTAACAAGATTGCGGCATCTAGATGTTCAAGACACATGCTTGTTGTTTAACGTTTTGTGAGTGTTTTGTGTTGTTGTGCAATGTGATTGCAAA